AAGGAACCCCTAGGGCTTCAGAAATCAACCATTGGAAACCCTAGGAAGTCTTAGAGCCGATTTTGAGCCTCTCATCCTCTCTCTCCAAGATCATTCAAAGTGCTTTGGTGTTTGTGATCCATTAGAGGCATCACATTTGAGGTGCTAGGTTCTCATAACCTAAGGATCTTCAATCTACACACAAGGTAATCATCTAAACTTGTTCTATTTGATATTTTCGGATTTTGTATGCTAGATCTAGGGTGTGAAAGCTTTGGATAATTTGCATGTACAATAGAGAAACCTAGATCCAAAGTTTTAGGTTTTGCATGTGCACCATAGGATTGTTGTTTTGCTTAAAACCCATCAAGTATATATGTGCTTTCGTTCTACAAGACCATTTTGTTGATGTGTATGAGAAGTAAACTTCTAATGTATAATGTCATTTTCTTGAAAGTGAACCTCTCTATCAAAACTTAAAAGGAAGTTCATTAGCATTATCAGTACGTATGCATTTGATTTTTGTTTGAAATTGATTCTTAATAATAGAAACAAATGATTAATCAGAGTAAAAGCATAACTTTTATGACTCAATAAGTGAATCCAAGTATGTCTTGTGAAATCATCAACAATTGTAAGAAAATACTTGTAACTATCATGATTTTTATGTTTATATGGTCCCTAAACATCAATATGGATAAGATCAAAAGGAGTATGAGTTTGGGAAATTCTATGGGGAAAGGCGGGGAAAGGCTAATTGTGATTGTTTAGCTTAAACACAAGTGAGACAACTTTCAATATCATCATGAGTATAGTTTGAAGGAAGAGACATAATTTTCTTCAATTTGTCGAAAGAAACACGACCAAATATCTTATGTCATAGCATACCATGACTATTTGAAATAGATACATGAGACGATGAAGAAGAAATGAAGAAGAAACTGAAAACACAGATAAACTATATGCCAGACTATGTTTAATATGATCATAATCAAACACATAAAGGTCATTTATTATTTTCCTAAGGACACCAAGAGTTATTTTATTTTTCAACAATGGGCCCTGCAAGGGACAAGTCTCATCGATAAACAACATAAATGTTTGAAGTTGATATGTAAGTTTTGGAATGGATACACAGTTATATCTGAATGGTGGGACATAGAGTACATTTTGTAACATAATGGAGTCATGGACTTCAACATCACCATAGTGAGAAACGACCAAATTGTATCAATTAAGTATCCTGATTTTGTGAGGTTGTGAATTTAGTCATAGACAAGACGAGAGTCAGAGTATAGCATATATGATATGTTGCTCTAGTGTCTATAATGAAAGATTGATGTGGTTTGAGAAAACGGATGAGTTATAGACATTAGATACAAAATGAGCATAAGAAAAAGATTTACCATCTGGATGCATTGCACCATCATGAATAGAAACATTGTTGCTTGAAGAAGATTGGATATTTGACTGGTTTAGCAATTGAAGGATATGTTGATATTGATCTTTAGTGATGATATTTGAATTATCAAATGTTGCAAGTTGAACAATGATTTAGGCTCTTCTTTCTTTGATTTGGTAAGCTTGAAAGATGATGGAAAGTCAATCAAACGATACCACTGATTTTTGAAACTAGCATTGCTATTGCATCATGATTAACTGCATGTGGAAAATTAATCTCCTCATATCGTTATTATGTGATGATAATGGAATAGAATGTGACCATAACAAAGTATTGTAAGTCCCATTATTTTTGTTATTATTCTCCGGGGAATAGTTCCATCTAGAGACGAGCCAACATCTGCATCTTGATTTTTTAGATTGGGCGAGAAATTTGTAGAGAAGCAACAATATATAAAAAGAATACTCATGTTTACACCATGCATTCACAAAATAAGGGGAAATGACACAAATTCCCTACAAAGTTTCTAGGGTTGGTCGATTCAGTCCCTAAAGTTTTTGTCGGGATTTACTGGTCCCTAAACTAGGAAATGAAACAAATGCCCTACACCTGCTGTTTTTGTCCCTGTCAACCTGTAATAGTTGGTTCGCCATCCGACAATGACCATTTAGACAAAAAAAAAACTCACATTGTGCCCCTATAAAGCCAAAAAAATAAGTTTGGGGATGAAATGTTTATGTCACAAGATCGAATGCTTATGAAACAAAACAAGCTTCAGAACTACATCAATCTTCTATACCTCAGCTGGAGCAGTGGAGACATAGTCAACTTAAATAGCGATCAAACCACAACAAAATCTTCAACATTTAACATTTTCAAAATCCAACAACCCAAAATTTCATTTCAAAACATCGCCTTAATATGGGGGTTCTTATTAAAACTCAAGGCAAGGGCAATAAAGGAAACTTTGTGTAAAGTTTCCGTTATATCGGTCTACCATTTGGATAAGACTGTTGTGTTTGTCCGGTTTAGCAAGCAGGAATTGGTTTCAAGATTTTTGGAACTGAAATCGAGTTTAAAAAAAAAGAAGAATGGTGCAATTTATGTTTTGCACCCTCTTTCAGAGCTTCTACAAGGCGGACAGACTTGTGATGCTTCTTATGAGGCTTACAAACAAATCTGTGGATAGCTTGTTTCTAAAGTCTTGTTTGCTGATCAAGCTGAAGCAGTTGGTGTTAAGTTTGAGACCAAAATGGTTCAACAAAATGCTTGTTTTCATAATTTGGATACCAAAAAACAATTAAAGTGTCGGTTTTCCTAAAGGAGAGATACTAGATGTTGTGTACTGCTGAGACTCTTATAGGCAACCAATTAAGTTTGTGAAATCTTGTATTTTTTTCCTTCCTAAAAGGAGATTAATGTTATTACCAGCTTTAATTTTTGTGGCAAATTTTAAAATATATGCCTCGTTAATCTCTCATATCCAACCAGGTTTGTATAAATATAGTTTCCAATAGCAATAATCAAGCTACAATGAAAACTTAGTGACCATTCATTTTAGATTCAAATTGACTATACTACAAAGATACATTCAATATGTTTTTTATAAAGATTAGACAAAACACAACATAATTCAATTTCAAAGTTGTATCAAACAAAAAGATAACATTTATGATTTATAACAAATACAAATGCAAAACATTTTGACAAAAAATTAATAGAAAGTCAAACACATCTTTCTATTTGATTCAGACTGAAACTGAGATTTAAATCCTCAAAAGGTTAAACTTAGATCAGAATTTCATAAAACTTAGGCAGATAGTCACATAAACATTTGGGAGAAGAAGAAACCTGAAAATGAGAAAATGAGAAGAAACTCTTGGTTTCAGAAATAGAATGAGCTATTGGAGCAGGAAATTTGAAAGATCATGACATCAACTTGCATGTTTCTTCATTTAATTAAGTGAAATTCGGTAGTTTGTTTTTTCGATCTTGTAGCATAAGCATTTGATCCCTGAACTTTTTTTTTTTTTTTTTTTGCTTTATAGGGGCACACTGTGAGTTTTTTGGTCTAAATGGTCACTGTCGCATGGTGAACCGGCTATTACAGGTTGACAGTGACTAAAACAACAGGTCGTATCCTAGTTTAGGGACCTATAAAACCCGACAAAAACTTTAGGGACTGACTCGACCAACCCTAAACTTTGTAGGGCATTTGTGTCATTTCCCCCACAAAATAATCATTGCTAACCGATTTGGATCACAATAATTAGGGCCATCAACTATAAATGGAAAAAATAGAATAAAATATTATAACATGAGATCTACGTGGTTATAAAACATAATGAAAAAAACCATCTAATTATGTATGGGAGAATATGTGCAACAAGAACTACATTCAATTTGCACGAAAAACCTTCATGATAGACACAACTGCAAAACTTTAAAAAAAAAAAATCACTAGAAAATGGCACTTGATGAACAAGAATTTGAACAGATTAATTGGTATTCCATGATAAATAGCGAGGTCTTCAAACCAAATATTTAGGTCTTGGTTATATTTAATGGCTACTGGGTATGTAAATTGATTTTGTTGGACTTCCTTGTCACTTGATACCTCTATGTTGATGAATGTTATTTTTATTTTATTTTTAAAAAAGTTTGATAACTTTTGTATCCGGTGAATGTTATTTTTATTTCATTTTCCTTAAACTAATAGGTTGAGGTTGTACATGTCAAATAATGGGCAGTATTAAATCCTTATTTCATTTTCCTTAAACTGATGTTGTGTTATTTTTTATTTCATTTTCCTTAAACTAATAGGTTGAGGTTGTACATGTGAAATAATGCCCAAATACCAGTAGAAATTTGATTAATTCAAGTCCAAAGATGTTACGTACTTTATGAGATCTATGTAATTAAAGAGAACATTTCTCATGCATACCTAAAAGTGAGGAAGCATGTGGAAAAGCCCAAAGGTTTGTAATCCCCAGGCAAAAAGAAAATAAGTATGCAAGTTTGTTGCATCTCTGTATGGATTAAAGCATCATATTTAAGCAATGACATGAGACTTGATGTGTTATTTCTTTCCATTTTAAACAAAATAATTCTCTACAAAATCAACACTAGCACAGCTGTAACTTGTAAGGGTTATTCGGATAACTTTAAAAAGAATAACTATGATTAAAAAAGAAGAGTCTATTAATGAATACGATAATACACGTCCAATGGGTCCAAAACCAAACTGGTCCATGTCCCTATCCGGTTCACGAACACTGGTCCAAATGGCTAAACGGTTCGGTCCAAAACCAAACTGGTCCATACCCGGTCCATCCACATTTCTTTGACCACTTGTACATGTACCTTTCTTTAACAATTAATATGAAAAAACCATTATGCAGAAGTAAGTTGAATTTCGTGCAAAAAGGTCTTGTGAGAAGCCATAAAGGTGGAAAAGAAGATAAAAGTGTTCATACATTCTATAAATATTATTGTTTAAGAACTAAAGTGGAAGTACAAAAAGTCCTCGTATACCTCACTTTGGCCTTACCCTCTCACTCTCTTCTTTAATTCTTTTGAAGCATTTTCAGTTTCAAAGTCAGCAAGAAACTCTTCCGATATGCAAAACCAGAGCCAGAGGTGTGTACAACTGTTTTTCGTGATCTTGGTTTCCTTCTCACTGTTAGTCTCCGGCGCCGATAAGGTAACCACGGTGGTCGGAAACACCAGAAATGTACAGTACCACTCCAGAATACTAGAGAAACAACAGAAGAAGGAGAAGGAATGGAAGGAGAAATGTCAGCAGGAAGACACAACACATTCTTCATCCGATGATCATAGCTTGTACTCCAGCAAAAGAAGAGTTCCAAACTCATCAGACCCACTTCATAATCGGAGATGATAATAGGAACGATGGTGCATGATAGGCTTGTACCGTACAACGGTTAATATGTTTTGAGATCCAGCAACCAGCATGCGGGATTGAGTAGTAAGTACTACACTACTACTGATGGATATGATGACGATGATGATGGCTGATATCTTTTTAATAGATTTTTGTATGTTGATGATCCAGCAATGTAATTGTTATTTTCAGATTTGTAATTATATATTATATATACTTCATATGTATTAAAGTACATAGTTTTGTTTTTGTTTGTTTGATAAAATAAATGAATAGGAATAAATATCATATTCCTTTAATTCTTGAAATATGTATTTGGATGGTTACATAAAACTTATATTTGAAGTTCAGATTTTAGGATGATAATTTTCGAATTATGAAGTTTAAATCTGTTATTACTAAAGCTAAATACGTTTATTTATATGTTCATTTATTTTGTAATATATGCATGTATGTATAATGTGTAAGGGGCCTATAGTGTGAATATTCTAGTTGGTATACATATTATGATGTCGATGTATAGTACATTAAGTTTTTCTCTATGTTCACATAAATCTGTTTGCGTTTTTATTTGTTCCGTTAAATTTAACTGCACGAAACATGCACAAATAATCTCAATTCATACCCATTGGATTCGTTTAGAGGCAAAATTGATAAAATCTTGAAACATTAAGTTATTATATTTGATAAAGTAATCAAATAAATGTAATATATGTTCATTTAAGGAATGTTAATCTTATAAAGTATGATAACTATGAGATAGTTAATAGTTTAACATGTTGCTATAAACTATTTAAACTATGGTTCCTATGTTGAAGGCCTATCAATACTTGGGGTCATGTGTTTAATTAAGGTTTGAGTTAAGACATAGTAATCCGCCTTCGTTGTAGTTTCTGTTATCTGACACAATTTCTTGTTAGCAGTCAGTTCCCTCATCTTGGTGGATTATTGAACTTGATTTACAATTCATACAATGAACGAGTCTCATCAATTTCTTATAAAGGAATTCATTTAGATTCAAATTTATCTGATATTGTATCTGAAACAGAAATTTTGAATTTATCAAACGTGACCAAATAAAAAGTAGTACTTTTGTTCTATGTGTACTTTTTTCCATGATTTTTTCTACAAAACCGAAATATAACTTTTGAACGTATCTTTTAAATCATCATGAGCAAATTAAAAAATAATACTAGAAAAAATATGCCAGATTCGATTTTCATACCCATGCGTGTGTCCTTTAGGATTTTCTCATGTCATGCAAGTCATATATTGTGGGAATGAAATGTGTGGTGACCCACAAAAGAAAAAGAAAAGACAATGTTTATATGTGTTATGAGAAAAATTCGAAATAGTGTTTAATGTCTTTAAAGTTACAAAAGACGACATTATAAGAACGGATTTATTTTTGGTTATATCAAGTTATTGACATATATTACTGAAATCATGTAATTAAGATCATTGTCATGCAAAGATTTGGCATAACCTTTTTTCAAGCTTATTCACTCATTTTTCCCTCTCATAAATGACCATTCTTTACCATACATTCCACCATCATTTTCCTTGGTCGATGGATCAACGCATGTTTTATTACCTCCTTCCCTTTTTCTCCTTCCTTCCTCTTCTTCTTCTCTCCAGATTCCTTCTAGTAACAACACCCAGAAATCACCATCACCAAAACCTTCCTCCAACCCCGCTTTCTTTCCCTGTAATCGGCCATTTTCATCTAATCAAAGACCCAATTCATCGAGTTTTGCAGACACTTAGTCTGAAATACGGCCCTGTTTTCACTCTCCTATTTGGATCCCGCCCTGTTCTTGTTATATCCTCACCATCCGCAGTTGAAGAATGCTTTTCCCAAAACAATGTTTCAGAAAACAGATCATGTCTGGAGAAGAACATGAAACACGATTACACCTCCGTGATCCCAGCCCCATATGGACCCTTTTGGAGGAAACTCCGCCGCATCACCACCATCGAACTCTTCTCAATTACCCGACTCGCCACTCATTCAGATGTCAGACAAGATGAAATCCGATCACTGATCAAGACTCTACTCCTGGAAATTGTTCATGATAACTTCACACGAGTGGGATTGAGGTCAAGAGTGCAAGATATGTCGTTTAACATCATCATGAGGATTGTTTCTGGAAAACGGAGCTTTGATCCTGAAATACATGATTTGAAGGAGGCTCTTAACTTTCGCGACATGATAACTGGGATCTCCAAAGCTCCTCGGGTGCCTTTTCGAACAGATCTTTTGCCATTCTTGAAGTGGATCGATTTCCAGGGTATGAAGAGGACGTTATTGAGATTAAAGGTGAAAAAAGATGCATCCTCTGAAGATTTGTTGGATAAATATTGGAAGAAAGATGGGGTTTCTAACAAGCAAATGATTGATGCGATGCTTTCTTTGCAAGAAGCACAACCTGAAAATTACTCCGATCAGATAGTTAAAGGAATTTTGTTGGTATGTTATTTTGCATTGATACACCAATTAACACTACAAATAAACTCTTCGTATTCTTTTGGATATTCACACTTAAAAGATTCGTAATTAAAATTCTTTTAGATATTCACACATAAAAGATTCTCTCATGCATGCATGCTTAGAACATTCTCTCTTCATTTATGCAGACACTATTACTTGTTGGTACGGATAGTTCAGCATGGACAATAGAATGGGCGATGTCACTTCTCTTAAATCACCCCGATGTTCTGCAAAGAGCTAGAGAAGAGGTCGATGAACATGTAGGACACAAACATTTGATAGAGGAAAAGGACCTCTATAAGCTACGATACCTACAAAACATAGTCAATGAGACACTCAGATTATTCCCCACAACACCACTCTTCGTGCCACACGAGTCATCAAAAGATTGCACCATTGGAGGATACAATATACCACATGGAATGATGTTATTGGTAAACACTTGGGCTATCCATAGGGACCCAAAGGTATGGGAGGAGCCTACAAGTTTTAAACCAGAAAGGTTCGAAAAATCAGTTGGTGATGGATATAACTATATACCATTTGGTATGGGAAAGAGGCAATGCCCTGGAGCTGGGCTTGCTAATAGAGAAATTGGTGTTGCTTTAGGGTCATTGATTCAATGTTTTGAATGGGAAAGGGTCAGTAAAAAATTGGTGGATTTGTCTGAAGGTAAAGGGTTAACCATGCCAAAATATGAACCATTAGAGGCCATGTGTAAAGCTAGAGAATGTATGTTTGATGTCCTATCAAAATTACTAGATGCTTCATAGAAATTTGATTAATCATGATGCTAGTAAATAGTAATCATACATGTGTTAGATTATTGTGTCTCCGCCTACTTTTTCATGCTGATAAGGAAACTGAAATCCATAAGTGAGATATAAGACATATTCAAGCCTAGGCATCAGCGTAACTACTTACTGTTATGACATTGCGATTTACCCCCATGTTATGACTTTGATAAGCTTGCTCATATAACACTCAAATTCATAGAAAACCAAATCCATTTTAATGAAAAAAAACATAATATTAAGTTGAAATCGAGAAACCAACCATTTGATTTGTCGATAATTGGCCAATAAAGGTTTTCTTTTCTAGCATTGAGGGTCCCTAAACCTCAATCTTAGTCCTATTTATACCATTTTCACCGGATATAGGTTGTTTAGCCGATAAATGGATTATTTTTCCCAAATTTGTGTCTATGTGGTGGTCTACACGAAGTCAACATTGACTAATGCTAACAAAAATGGTGTCATTTTGGTTTTTATATCAAGAATCCTTATAGTATGAAACACATTTCAAATAATTATTACCAAAGAAACAAGGTTCGTCATTTTGATAACTGAAGTGTTGATTTTATCTTATTATTAACATAAGGTATGATTTAAGGAAGAAAATTTTCATATTTTTAATGAAATTATCAGCATTTTTGCCATTTGGTTATTCATCAACTGTTTTCATATACTTTTTCATGATTTTCACGTTCTTACAAATTGCTTGTACATATTTATGTTACAATATGTTATCATCGTCTTTAATTTGGTGGTTGTTGATGGTAGACATAAATTATACAATAGTTTTTGTTCCAAACCCCTCCCCATTACCTATTGAAATGGTCTTGTTGCATATAATAACGATATGGACTTCTCTCCTATATATGTAGTACAATGATTTAGTGGTATTTCTTATTAGATTGATCAATGAGAGAGTAAACAATTTGTATTGCTAGGTGTTTAACAAGAGTGTGATACATTGACTTAGATTGCTAAGTGTGATGTTGATTAGAAGAACTTTTTAGATCATGGATATGGTAAATTGGTAATTGTGGTAGAATCTATAGCACCTGAAAATAAGGGTTAGAGTTTTATTATAAGTAAGTTACTTAAAATTAACTATTAAATTAATTAAGAGAGGTTTTGATGTACGTGTTTTTTAAGATTGATAATTTATTTAATCGAAAATCTTGAACTAAGAAATGGTTATGGACAAAACGATGGAGAACTAAGGCCCTTGAGATTTTTGATGTCTAGGACGAAAAGGATTATCGATACCTTTTTAAAAAAAATTTAAACTATCTGACTACAATCGGCTCATGTTTATATTGGACAACTAACTCGAACATATTTACCATATAAATTATAAATCGTACACTTAGAACTTTCTCATACAAAAATGTACTTATAATTGTATCATACAAGATTCTAAAAACAACCTAAAAGTTGCGAAGTTGCCTAAAATGAACTATTTGTGTATATTCTCATAAACTTAAAAAACTTGTAAAAAATCCAACAACAAAGGTTAATACACTTAAGAAAAATATGTCACTAAGAAATATTAACACACTTATTCTTTTCCATAAAAAAGGAAATACTTGAACTTTTAGTAGTAAAATATGTCTTTTTTTTCCAGATTAAAGTACGTTCAATTCTATACATTTTTCAAAAAAAAAAATTGATAGTTCTAACTTCTCGAAGAAATACACTAAATTGAAAATTGTTATTATGATTTTGAGATGAACCAATTGAAGAGCTGAAAATATTCTTCTCATTACTCAATTGTAGAATACAAGTTACAAATATATACTATACAAGCTAGGCTAACATACGCCACTAATATCAACCAAATCTAATCAACTAACTGTAACAGAAAAGAAATGCTAACTAACTTCCAACTGCTACTTGCTGACATGGATATGTACATAGCTCCAATATGCCCCCTCAAGATGGAATCTGAAAGATATCTTAAAGAGCCATCTTTGACAATAGAGGAACCATTTTTGCTCTTGGAAGTGGTTTAGTAAACAAATCTGCAAGATGATGTTGAGTTCATATAGGCATGAGTTTGATGGTGTGATCAAGAACTTTATCACAAATAAAATGGAAATCTAACTCTATATGTTTTGTTCTTTCTTGAAATTGAGGGATTAGAAGCTAGTTTGATTATGGATTCATTATCACAAAAGAGAAGAGTAGATTGAGATGAATCAATGTTGAAGGCTTGAAGCAAATGTTTTAACCAAATAATCTCACTAGTTGTAGCTGCAAGTGCTCTATATTCGGCCTTTGTGGATGATCTAGACACAATGGTTTGCTTCTTGAATTTCCAAGACACCAAAGAATCTACAAAAAAAAATGCAAAACCCAGTTATCGATCATCTAGTATGGGAACAACCTGCCCAATCAGAATCACTAAATGCTCTTAATTGAGAAGAATGATTAGATGACAGAAATAGCCCTTGACCATGATTGTGCTTCAAGTATCTTAGAAGATGATTAACATCTTGCATATGTCGCACTTGTAGTGAAGTAATGAATTGACTCAATCTATGCACAACATAAGTGATATCCGACCTAGTAAAAGTTAAGTACATCAATCGTCCAATCAAGCATATGTACTGAGTAAGATCATCAAGAATCTTTCCTTCAAAGTTAGAAACTTTAACTTTTGGATCCATAGGGTAATTGTAACGTCCAAAAATAAGACCCAAAAATTTCATTTTTAAATTAATAAAAACAGTGTCCCAAAACATCATCATAAATCCCAAGTGGAACATATATATCAATACATCATAAAATATCAGAGTTGTCATGAAAATGAGGAACAGTATCGTGTGTGCACTGCAATCACCCCTAGCTCTTCCCCTTAGCACCAGAAGTACCTGAAACATAAACTGAAAACTGTAAACACGAAGCTTAGTGAGTTTCCCCCAAATACCTTATACCACACATATCAAACATATAATGGGCCCCACCCGATCAGTGTAACGGGCCCCTCCCTAACTCGCATAGCGGGCCCCACTCACTGAGTATAACGGGCCTTGCCCTAACTCGTATAATGGCCCCCGCACAACATACAAACATACAAGTATAACAAGCAATGACATACATAATACCCAGTGGGCCCCTCCCACTAATCATACAAACACATATACATGCAAGAGTCACACAGACATCTAGTACCCTAACATAATAACTCCTGGGTCGGCATTGGTGCCTTCGACCCGCTAAACATGGTGAGGAAGACTCACCTCAAGCTGCTGAATCACTAAAATAAATCATTGGCTGCTGGTCCGGTAAATCCACGCGCTATTAATACCAATAATATCCAATTTATTAACTGGATCTCAACCCATAATCATAGGTCTAATCTATTGTCCAGACCAAGGTCCAATCCGTTACAAAGAGAGTCCTAACTCTAATTGACAGTCCAAGGCCCAATTATGGCCCAATCCTCCAAATTGGGCCTAATACCCACCATGGGCCTAAAATACAATGAAGCCCAACAAGCTAGTCCAAGTCCAACACAGAATTTTGGTGGCCCAAGCAATGGAAGCCCAAAAAATGGACCAAATACTGAGAATGTTGAATCCAAGCCCACTACTGAGTACGCGGGGAGTACTCAGCTCGTACGCTAAGCATACTCTTTTTGGGGCTAGTACGCGCGACGTACCAGCTGGGTACGCCCAACGTACTCCCCAGTGTGCCACCCTCACTCCATTAAGCACTTAAACAGTTCAGCCCCTACTCCATACTCTCAGACGTTGTCTTAAAAGATGACTTATCATGTAAAGTTGGCAACTTTACGTGCATGCATGGCTTAATGGGGCTCTAGAGCTTAAAAAAGGGCCTTAACACATGCATGAGTCAACATACACCATAAAGTTTGCATTTTTATGCATATGGGACCCCTAAATGTCCAGATCTAAAGGGTTAAGCTTCTAAAACGACGTTATCTCACAAGGACCAACCAAAAGGGACCAAAATAGCCATAAACAACCCAAAAGTAGATATATAAAAGGAGTTGACAAGTTATGGACTTTATATCTCAAAAGTCACTAAATGATGATGCTAACTATGGATCTCTAAGCTCTTCTCCAAAGAATGAGTCTTCAATCCCCTTCTACCACTTCAAAGTACACAAAAACACACCAAAAATGCTTCACAAGAGCTCAAAAGCACCAAAACAAAGGCTAAGGGCGAGGTTAGGGTTTTCAAGATATGGAGGCTGGTCTAAAATGGTCAGGAGGTGGGTTTAAGAAGCTTAAATAGGGCATAAACCCTAAAAATTAGGGTTTGTCCCAAGCCAGCGTACGCGCAACGTAACCCCACATACTCCCAACGTACGTGGGCGATGCCTGCGATCAAGGTCTAGATAGTATGCTAAGCGTACTCATAGAGTACGCCCCACGTACTAGCCAGAGGACCAATAATGCAAATATTAGTTTAGCAAGGGTTAAAAGGAAACTTACAAGGTCTGAATGTTACATTCTCCCCCACTTGAATCAGACTTCGTCCTCGAAGTCCGCTGCTCCAAATAACTTCGGACAGTGCTCCATCATCTCATACTCCGGCTCCCACATCCATTCTGAACCCTTGCGATGCTACCACTGGACTTTCACCAACTCAACAACCTTGTTCCTCAAGGTTTTCGTTTTCCGGTCAAGAATCGCCACCGGTCGCTCAATATAGTTCGGGCGGTCATCCACCTGAATATCCTCCAATGGAACCATTGCAGAATCATCTAGTAAAACACTTCCGCATCGGAGATACATGGAAAGTGCTATGGATCTGACTGAGCTCATCTGGAAGATCCAAGCGATATGCAACCCGGCCCACCAGGCCAAAACCCTGAAAGGACCTATGTACCTGGGGCACAGTTTGCCCTTCTTCCTGAATCGCATGACACCTTTCCAAGGTGACACCTTCAGGAGAACCATATCCCTCACCTGGAACTCTAGATGTGATCGGCGTCTGTCGGCATAACTATTCTA